TTGGTGTAGGTACATGAATCCAGGTTATGCCAATCAAGATAGAATTTGGATATGTGGTGGTAGTGGTTATGCAGTAGTTATTTTGCTTAATTTTTATTTTTTAATCTTTTATTACTTTTCCTGTTGAGCATTGGGTATACAGTGAGTTAGTGAACTTTAATTTTGATTGGTCATGTCCCACCTTCTTCTCATTGTTGTACAGTTAATATTATGTTTCCCTTTTCTTTAAATTACATAATGTGGATAAATTATTCTGGAAAGAAATTAGTAATTTCCAAGAAAAGCTCTCATTTTATGCAAAGGAGGAAGAAAAAGCATTATATGCAAATAGAAAATGTTACAAAAATGCAACAAGCAATTCAATATCTATAACGGACGGAATTATGGCACGTTAGTATGTACCTTCTATTAGAACTGGAGTACATAGCTGGCATTACGTTTCCTAAATGACTTGCACAGGGAAATCAATTTTTTTATGATCTAAATTATTTGTTGCATTTTGCAAGTTACCTCATCATTTTGGTGATGTCCAATGATGTTGTGGTGTGACAATCAAGGGGTGAAGTACCTTAGCCATAAATTAGTTCAGATGTTTATTTAAAATACAAGTAGAGCCACTGGATAGCCTTGTGTTCAACCTATTATGCCTTATTTTGTATGAAAACAGTTTGTTTGGCATATTGACAAAACAAAGTCAATAATGATTCTGGAATTGAATAAGATTCTTATCAAATTAGGCTTGCTCCCACAAAATAACAAAATTGAAAAAGTCATTCCTTTCAAAAAATATACTAAAGTGAATGGATAATTTAAAGTTTTAAATCTATGAACCCAATCACATCCAGTCATAAGATTAGCATTAATGCAAGCCTGGTGCAATACTAGAAATAAGATTTTTTTTTCACCTAACAGCACATATATAGAACGAACCTGCAACAAAAATGAATGCTATGGTTAAGCAAATTGTAAAGTAGCTTTGCACATGACTATTAATCTCTGTAATCTTCGTTCCTTTTTATATTCGTGCATATGGACAATTGACTGGGACATCGTGACTGAGCTTTACCTTCTTGCAATGCTTTCTATGATGACTCAGTTTAGGATTGAATTATGTAGGAAGGATAGCCTTGAATTTTTTAGATGAATGTTTTCAGGAAGAGTTTCAGAACTTTCCTTTTCTTGGAGGTGTTATATGATGTTATTCTCTAACGGTGTATTACTAATAAATTAGTTAACATCTATGACAAGACCATACCTGATAAATTGAAAGAGGTGATTCAGTGGCTTCATTGCATTCCATGTTTTGTTCCTGTGTTTTGCCTACATTTGCTCCATCATGTTGATATCTACTGTTTAGGATAAAATCCGAAGATTTTTAGAATGTTGCCTTGGGGTTAAAAACTAACTTGTCAAGGGGCTGAAAATCTCGTCTTATGACCCTTCTCATCAATTCTGATTTCCTACGTCACTTTTTCTCTCTGTTTTCATTTAAAATGCAACAACTGCCTGACTTCTCTGAGAAAGGAGTGTAATTTAGGCAGTGAATTTGATGTCTCTTCCCACAAGGTAGTTTCTTAAAATATCCTACATTTTCTGCCTGTTTTGGGGATGCCAACAATTTTGACCAATTATAATGCACTCAATATAGAGCAGCTCTAAGCTCTGAACTCTGTTCTGTGTCACATATTGAAGTAACATCTGAATCATTTGAAGAAACTTATCTAACCTTAACTAAGGATCTGCTTTTGATGGTATTAAGACTCAGATTTTTCTTGTGTGGGTGGGAGAACTAATGCTAAATATTTAATGCAGTAGGCAAGTACAGGTAGCCATTTGATTTTCTACTGTTCTATGCCACAAGCTGAGGAAATATCAGATATATTATAATATGTATCTACAGTGCTGAATTTATTGATTTTTAAATGCATAGATGTAACATTCAATAAATATTTAAAACATTTAAGCTCGTAGGAGTTAGAATGCAGACACCCTGGATTTATAGTGAATCCAGCTTCTCTTTGTGTTAAATGAATAAAAATATCACAAGATAATGAAAAATGAAAAATAGAGAGTTCAGTTCTCAATACAATACCTTCTATGGGAGACAAGTTAGGTGAGCCTTAGACCAACCCTAGACTTGCTTTCTCATTTAGACCCCATTATACTGTGCACAGTTTTTGCTCTTTCTCCAAACAAAATTTTTTTTTTTTTAAAGAGTTAATCTCTCATCTTCTCAAACAAAGTGGTAGATTTTCTTTTTCATGGTTTTTATTTGTCTCAACTGTCTAGATGCATGATAATAACTATCATCTTTAGACTTAATCAATAGCGAGCGCAAGTAAATTTCTATTGTATTTTCACTTAAGCTAATCTATATCATGAATAGAATGTGAAGAAGACAAATATAATAATAATAATCACTTATTTCCTTCATTTGAAATTCCAGGATATTGCAATTTAACATGATGTTAACTCTTCTGTCAGCAACATTACAAAATTTCCCCCAGATTTGGTTATTGCAGCTATTGATAGTTGTGCTTGCAATTGCTGGGGAGTTGTAATAATGAATCCTTTTAGACTTTGTTGGAAAATGATGGTTGACTGCATTTTCTTCTTTATAAGTTGAGGCTTTTTGGTTGGTGGATGATTCATATATGTATATTCTGCCCTTTATAATAAAATGGGATTTCCTATGTTGGCAGCTACTTAAAAGTCTGTTTGAGTTCAGAGCACACATTTTTAAAAATAGAATTACAACTTTTGCCCCTTTCCTGTTTAGGTTCCCCCATTACTGTCACCTGCCACATGATCTCCTCTAACTGGGAGTGAGCGACGGTCTAGATCCAGGATGTCTCTGTTGCTGCTGTCAGTTGCTGCTTTTTGATTAGCCGACAGGAGATGCACTTCTACTGGGTGGGACTGGTGCTGCTAGTTTTCCCTTTCACCCTCCGATGGAGCGCCTTACTGCTACACAACACTTCATGTGGTGAACTGGACAAAATCTGGTGAAGCTCTCGGTGAGGACAAGTGAGTTTGAAGGTCCTTAAAAACTGGAGTTTGAGAGCTTGTGACAAACACTTCGGTTAATAATCCAGAGCTGCTGCTGCTCAAACTTCCACTTCAAAATTAATATCTTTTAAAAGAAAGAAAAAATGTAGCTAGAAAATCAAAACAAAATCCAGCTAAAATGTTGTATATGGACGTTTATCAGTAGTTCACAACAAAATTTAAAAAATGCAAACTAAAAATACATTAGAATATCAGATGTGAACATGACAAAGCACAATACTGTAACAAATAAATAAGAGACTACTATTGAAAAAGGCTTCTGGGGGAAAAATGTGCTTTGAGACCTGCTTAATTTTCCTTGGTGTAACTTCTAATTAAAATCTAAAATGAAACCAATCTGTCTTTAATATACTGTGCTCATCAGCCAGTGGTGAAGAATATTGTTGAAACATATCTGTCATTTACAAAATGAAACACTGTGCTAGTCTTCCGTCTGGTAATCAAAACACCTAGACTACGTTGGCCAGCATACTGATACAGTTGAATCCTGACGTAAAGCTGTTTATCATGAAATTATGTATTTAACTGAGAATTGCTGCAAGTGACTGAATTATGCCTTTACCTTGTCACCAACTTAAAGAACAAACAAATGGGAAAGTCTTTTAAGTGTACATTATGCAGAACGAAAACAAGTTAAATATGATTTGCTATTGTGACATTATAAGGTATCTAAATCCTTTTCCTTAAACACATACATGTGCTAAACAGAAATTCTACCATGTAGATCTAAAGTTTACTATTAGTTTAATTTTAGTTTTCCTTAGAATTCATACGAAATCCTAATCCAAAATTTATTTTAAAAAGCATTTGCACTCTAAGCCAATCAACATAGAATCAGAGAGCCCCTACAATGTGGAAAGAGGCCACTTAGGCCATCAAGGGGCGGCACGGTGGCTCAGTAGTTGGCACTGCTGCCTCACAGCTCCAGAGACCCGGGTTCAATTCCACCCTTGAGTGTCTGTGTGGAGTTTGCACATTCCCCCCGTGTCTGCGTAGGTTTCCTCCTGGTGCTCCAGTTTCCTCCCACAGTCCAAAGATGCTAAATTGCCGGTAGTGTTCGGGGATGTGTAGATTAGATGTGTTATAGGGGATGGATCTGGGTGGGATGTTCTGAGGGTCGGTTTTGGGCCAAAGGGCCTGTTTCCACACTAGGGGTTCTATGATTTATGATCTAAGTCTGCTCTGACTGTCCAGCGAGTATCCCATCCAGACCCAGCCCCCCCTCACCCTGTTCCCATAACTCCATATTTACCACAGGTCATCCACCTAGCCTACGTCTCTGGACACTGTGGGATAATTTTGCATAGCCAATCCACGTAACCTGTACATCTTTAACATGCAAACTCCACACAGGCAGTCACCCAAGGCTGGGATCAAATCCAGGTCCCTGGCGTTGAGGTGGCAGTGCTAACCACTGAACCCACCGTGCCACCCGTGGATTTGCAGCTTAAGTGTCCTGAATTAAAATTTTCTTTCCAGCTAAGTTAACAATGAAGTTGATAAAAGGAGGAATGCACTATTACTACGTTAAATGTTTAGTTGAACATGTCTAAGAGTGTCACAATTAATAATTCAAAATTATAATGGAAATTTTCATGGAAGTTCTTAACAGTTTAAGTTGTTAATGGGCGCAAATATAATAATGCTAACTCTGCCAATTTATAGATATGTTCATTTAGTTGTTAAAAAGTGAACAACTCTTGAACAAGCAGGGCTTTCCTGAATTGTGGGCATAGAAATGTATGCGTTTTTAAAGACAGACTGAATTTGGGTTCTGACTGTCATCATCTCCTGGAACTCAAGCAATGACCCACCATCTCTGTTTTGTCATCTTGGCTGAGATGTGTATATGTTTCTCTGATTGCTATAATATTGATGTTATCCCATATTGTGCTGGGCGACATTGTTGGTGCAGTACAGCTGAGGTGTGAGTAGCCTTGTCGTCATGACGGTAGACTAGCAACTCAGAAAAATTTATTCAAAGCCACTATGGCTGTTGAATTGAATTCAATAAATGTGTTCCTATGTGGACTCGCACAAGAAATAAAATTGAATATCAAATGCAAGTAATTCACTAATCAGCTTTTGGGGATGAAAGAAACCAACTCTCAATATTAGGCAAGTACCATATAGAATTAATTTCATAATGCAACTTATGATAAAATATTAAGCTTTGTCTATGCTGTATATGTCATATGAAAAAACTAAAATATTACTTTTGTCAAGTTAAGTCCTTTCACATTTAACTCATCTTAAAAAAAAAAAAAAAAAAAAAATTCTAACTTCTGTCTTTTTTTTAAATAAAGTTTCTGGGTACTGCTTGAAACTTTCCTCTGTGCTTCTGTTTACTTCTATCTAAATTGAGTTGCAGTTTCCCTTTCCCCTTCCCTTCCATTTCCTTAGTGGCTTTATTTTGCCTGATTTCCTTCTCTTGGCGAGGAGAACAGTTTTACACTTCAAATTCTGTTGGGACTAAATTTTGGTGACTGAATAGAAAAACATTGTTTTACTTTATTATGACATGGAGACAGGCAGCTGAAGTAAATCAGCGTTTCTACCTCTGTATTCACAACATAGTAAAATTAAAACCTTCAAAGATCCTTGAAATTGAACCCAGTGGTTCCTGACGAAACTTTTGAATAACCAAGCCCAGCATCTGTGAATAATAAATTCCATATACCACCTAAACAAAAGACTTAGCAATTTATTAATAATGTTGTAACTTTACTTTGTTGCTTAATTTTACTCTGTTAATCTATTGGTTTATGGTTTAACTCCAAAATCTTTTCAGCCTCCTTCAGACAAATAAACAGACTGACAAATGAATACAGTTAAGGGATAAATAAAAGAAAATAACAAAACTGGTCAGATTACCTAAGTGGTTTTTACAAGGTTTTTTCTAGACTTGGTGGAACCAATTTCCAGGTACTCACTTCGTTAATAGGCCACTTCTGCTGTCTTTTTAAACGTAACGCTCTTCCCTCGACAAGGCATCCGCAGAACCTTTTGATCAGGATCCAAAGTGCAATTAACTTCCAGGCCTGGTCTCTCAAATAAATAGAAGTTTGTTTGGTCCATTTTTCTTTTAACACCAGCTGTGACCCGCATTCCAAAAGTCATCATTAGCTCACAATTCCCAGTTCACCGCTTCAAACCAAAATTAATAAAAGAAGTTTTAAAAAAAACATGAAAAGTCAGCAAGGGCTCTAACAGCATGTATATTTTCCAAACGATCAATTTTATTTATACTAAAACTGTTTGTATGAACAATTTGTTGTACCAGCTGCCTTCCTAAGCTTGATGGGTTTATGGGCAGAATTGATTAAACACTTGCTGGTTATCTCTCTCCAGATTTTCTTGGAGACTTGATTCAACTTGACTTCTACTTTTAACCTTTTGGTTTTTACTAGGCTTGCAGAGTATAATCGAACTCCAGAAACATCCAGAATCTGATTCATGTTGGCAGTTGTATTGTGACACTAAAGACAAAAACAGCTTACAATTATTTTGTACCATTGACATAATCAAACATCCTGAGTTGCTTCACAAGAATATAATTAAAAATGTAGCTTGGAATCGGTCAAATAACACGATATTAGATCAGAAGACCAAAAGAACAGTCAAAGGAGTAAGTTTTCAGAAGTTTCTTAGAGGGAATTCCATAGAAGGTTTGTTTTCTCGACAACTATATGAAGAGCTGACTAGAGGACAGTCTTTAGATTTAGCATTATGTGATAAAAAGGGCTAATTAATACACAATTGGCAAAGGAACCTTTTAAGAATGAATAACCATAGAGATGACATGATAAAATCAAATTTTACATTATTTTTGCAAGGAGGTGAATTTGTCTAATGTGATTGTGGTTTGGTCTGAATCAAGGGTGTTAAAAATGTGTAAAAAGGGAATAATGACGGCATGAGACCAAAACCGGCTGAGGAAAATACATGAAAGGGCGTGTGTGTACATAAATAATAGTCTTTAAAGAACTATTACATGGCTTACAGCAACTATATATTCCTTCAAGGTGTAAAGACTCAAAAAAAAAAAGTAAGTCAACCGTGATTGACAATGGATGTTAAGGATTGTATAATATTAAAAGGCTTAAAGTTGCTGGAAATAGTGTCTGATGGTTGAGAGGATTTTTAAATACAACCAAAGGGACCAAAAAAAAACTAGTAAGGGAAAGGAAAATAGAATATTAATGCAATCTAGCAAAAAACAGTGTGAAAGCTTCTATGGGTACATGAGAAATAAACATTCGGCTAAGATGAATGTTGGTCCATTGTAGGCAGAGTCCGGCAAATTTGTAATAGGGAGTTAAGAAATGGCAGAGAAGCAAAATGATCGTGTTGTGTTTTTTTCACTGAAGAAAGTACAAGAAATTTCTTGAAATTAGAGATCCAAGTGACTAGGGAGGATAAGGAGTTTAAAAAATGTGCATTAGTCAAAAGATCATAGAGATAGTTGATGGTCTTCCAAAATTTCATAAATTCTAGAATGATGCCTATAGTTTGTCACACTAATGTTTAAAAAAAGAGCAAAGGAGAAAGCAATGGAAATTCAGGCCTGTTAGCCTTTCATTAGCAGTAGGGAAAAAGTTAGAATCTAATAGAAAATATAATAAATGGGCACTTGGGTAATAATAATCTCACTTGGCACAGTACACATAGATTTGGAAATGGGAAATCTTTTGTAATGAATTTGGAATTTTTTGAAGATGTTACTAACAAAACTGGTAGAGTTGATTGACATAGTTTACTTGGATTTTCAGAATGCTTTTGATAAGGTCCCCTTCAGGCGATTGGTCAGTAAAGGTACAGCTGAAGGGATAGGAGGTAACATACTGGCATGGATTAAGGATTGGCCATCAGGCAGAAAACAATAGAAATAATAGGTCAATCTTACCTTGGCGGACTGAATAGTGGGGTACCACAAGGATCAGCCCAGAGGCCCCAGA